CTATTTGCTACTAATACAAGAAAAGAGAACTGGGCCTTAATGGATTTTTCTCTTGTTTGCCACTTACATCAATAGAAGAGTTGATTTAATTTTTTTCAGTCCTTGCCCAATTTCTGTATAGCTCTGTCAGATTTACAGACTCATTTTATGAATGCAGAGGTCAATTTGGAGGACTTAAGATATGGGAGATGGGCATTATTATGTTAGGTCGTGATGAAAATTGCTTGAAACCTCAGGGACTTAATGAATATTTTATAGGATCAGAGCTTGTAAGCATGGTCAATATTGTGAGTTTTCATCTGATAAGGGGAAGGCAGGGGATCTAGAAAAGTGAATTGGATTATACCAGCTCACAGAATTAATGCTGTCACAACTGCTTTTCCAGTTTCCATCCTTTCTGATCCCTATGTTCTTTATGTAATATGCTTCTGCAAAAGCTAGTCCAGTTCTCTACCATACATGGATAATCTGATATCACATGGCAAGAAGACCAAAATGTATTGTTACATCTCTCTGTTGCATGGCATGCTTCTGGGACTAAGGCTGTCTGATTGCTCCAGGATCCTTGCTGTCTTCCTTTTCCCTATTCTAGAGATCCCAGCAAGAGATACAAACAGGAAACTTCCAAAATCCACTTTAACTGGGAAGCAATATTTGTGCTTTAAAAAACACTTCCCAGATTGCTAATCCCTCCTGCCTCTATGGTTCTCCATAGCCTCCATTAAGGAACACAGGATTTATAGCTCGTCATTAAATCTGTTCCTAACACTGGCAACTGTACTGGATATATCCAATTCAGACAGGTTCACAAGCCCCTGTCCCATGTGCCACCATGCACTGCAGGTCGAACAGCACTTTGTGTGTTGATCTTGAGGCCTGTTTAAAAGGCAGTGACTACACATACCACAGGATTGTAAATTACAATTGGACCTTGTTACCTAGACAGAAGGAAACTCAGATAAACATGAATAGTCTTCCTCATTTTTTTTTCCAGACCTCTGTTTTGTCTTACAATGATGTGTCTCTTACAAGAGTGCATTTAGAGAAATGAATGACTAGTCAGTTTTGGCCTCTGCAACAGCTGTCCTTTTTCAATTAAACTACTCCATGAATGTTTACTTCTTTTACAAGGGCCACAGGAGGTAAATCAGCAACAATGTTACCAGTCAAGGAATGTTGTCATTTTGGTGTTTCCTGATGTACTGTTTTGCTTAGAACAAAATGAGTAGTGGAGGGACTGGTCTCTTTAGTTATACAAAGCATATTACCAATATTTTTGCAATAATAGCAAATTCTAAATAGTAGTATTGAATCTGAGATGAAGATTGTTTTCCTCACAGCAGCCCTAATAGTGCTGTGCTTTGTATTGGTAGCTAGAAATGTGTTGATAACACCCTTGGCTGCTGCTGAGCAGATGTAGTGGTCTCTACAACATCCCTCCTCACCAGCAGGCCAGGGGTGGGTAAGATCCTGGGAGGAGACAGAGCCAGGGCAGCTGACCCAGACTGTCCAAAGGGATATTTCCTATTCTATTATGTCTGCTCAGCAATATAAACTAAGAGTAGGTGGGAATGGAGGGGAGGGGTGTGGGTGGCATTTGCTATTAGGACATTTGTCTTTAAAGTAACTGCTATGCACTCTGAAGCCCTGCTTCCTGGGAATCCTGGGAAGTGACTGGACATATTCTCTACTTCCCATCAGGAGACTAAATCTTCTGGTTTAGTTTGCTTATGTGCTTGGCCTTTGCTTTTGCTTTATTAAACAGCTTTTATCTTGACCCATGAGTTTTCTCCATCTTGTTTTCTCTCCCTCTGTCCTGCTGAGGAGGGGAGTGGTAGAGGGGCTTGGTGTGCACCTGGTGTTCAGCCAAGATCAACCACTACTGTAGTTCAGATATTACCAAGAAGTAATTGAAGAAATGTGTAGTTCATTCATTGATGAAGCCTACTGTGTGATAATTGCACTACATTTCACTTTTTACTGTTGAATAGGAACATTATCCTTCTAGGCTCTTTCTATAGTGCAGAGTGACTCAGCTTCTATTGGAGGTAATATGAAATTTTCATTGATGTCTAGTGATAGGACAAGGGGCAATGGGTGCAAACTGGAACATAGGAGGTTCCACGTAAACATCAGAAAATATTTATTTACTGTGAGAGTGACAGAGCACTGGGACATGCTGCCCAGAGAGGTTGTGGAGTCTCCTTCGCTGGAGACATTCAAAACCTGCCTGGACGTGTTCCTGTGTGATGTGCTCTGGGTGACCCTGGTCTGGAAGGGGGTTGGACTAGGTAATCTTTTGAGGTCCCTTCCAACCCTAAGAATTCTGTGACAGTGTTTAGGAGCATGTGGAAAGATCACAAGATGAGGCAGATCTGGGCTCTTGATGCTATTATTAAAACCATTCCTCATGCTGGTTCTGATTTTTCTACAGAAGTTGTTAGGCACATTTAATTAAAGGGAATCTTATCAAAGATTGCATATTAGTAATCTGGTCTTTATGGAAGCAAAGACTGTTTAATACACTCTAGTGGCAGAAGTGGGTCTAAGGAAAAAGGGCAACTCCTAATGAGGTTATAAAATTAAAACAACAAAAAAGAAATTATAATTTAAAAAGAACCAAGAGCTTGATATATACTCTGGTTGAAGAGTACTATAAGCTATACATAAACAACACAGTTGATATTCATTCTTTATGGTTGAAAGGTATGTAAATTTGCAACAGGTAATATAATAGCCAAAAGTATATGTTAAATGTTATGATGAGGGAGTGTAAAGCATTTCTAAATTGTCTTTTTTTTAGGTGACTAAAGCAGTCTATTGCTATAGCATCTGCAATTTACAACAAGAAAATAAAAACAGAAATAGAATTGCAAGGGAGGGGCAATCTGTCCATTTTTAGCATCAGTAAAGATTTAATGAATTATCTCTTCCTTATTGCAATCAAATCTTAGATTGAAGATTGTAAGTATTTTCATTATCTGAGACAAGTATAGACTTTTTGTAATTGTGATAAATTAATTTTATCTCAAAATGTAATATTGTTACCCTAGGTGTATTTTTTGAACTATTTAAGGTTGTAGTTTATAATATTTTACAGTGGGTTACATTGTGAAATTCCTGCAAGAATTAAAGCTCCTAAGCTTTCACTAAGACATGAGACACTACTTTTAATGACTTAGTGTAAAATGTGTTATGGCACTTGCCCTGAAACTGTGTTCCAATCTGAAGAACTGTCTGAAGGCAACTTTATTATTTTGATGCATTGTTATTAGCAGTTAAGATTTAATATCTGAATACCTTTGGTGGTAGAGCTGTATGTGCAGGACTGTGACCCCACACAGAACAGGAACAACAAGAAGTATGAAGCAATTATAGTGTTAATAAAATATTTTCATTTTGTTTTGAAAAGTCCTCTTTGGATGTGATGCAAGCATTTATTTCTTACCTACATTCCTCAATAAATAGGCACTTCTATTGCCTTAGAAAAAAATTAAAATTACAAAGTATTTGGTGCTGTTACTTCAAAGATCATCTTAATAGTTTATTTATCCTTCAACATGGTCTGTTATAAACATTTTTAATATTTGGTTGTAAGAGGGGTCTTATGTTCACAGTTTGTGTTCTGTATTATTTGTGAAAGTCCATGTTTTATGATCAATAAGATTACACTGCAACTTAATAATAATTTAGAGATTGTATATATGCATTACTTTAAAAGAATTTTCATAGTTAATTATACATTACAATTTTAAAAAAAACCTAACTGCAAGTGGATCCAAAATCATATTAAATAATCACACCTAGAAATATTCTATGTAACAATAATAGAAAACTTGATGATATTTGGTACGGTTGGCTATCAAAATTTGAAAATAAACAAAATCACAAGAAATGGTACTTGCAGAATTCTTGAATAACTGTTTGCTGCTTGCCCATACATTTTCAGCCTGCTGCACAGTGTTTTAGTTGGATGTTATTATTGTGAAACAGCCTTCATAAAATCTTTCATTGTTTCATAGTTTACATAGTACAAGCACAGCAAATTGACAAATATAAATTTAGTGCATTGAAACTTCATATAGCATTTCTGTCTGAAATGGAATCTTCCCAGTACTAGTTATAGGATGTATAACTAATGATGGACAAGAAAAATCATAGACTCATTTGGTGCAGATATCAGGCAGTCAAGAGTAAGTACATATAAGTAGAGCAGCTTGTACTTAAACACACCTTGATCACTGCTCAGATTGAACTGTTGTAAAGTTACAACAACCAGAGAAAGACACAGGATGAATGTCATACTCGCATATGCTCCTTGTTTTGCATTAAAGTCCTAATTATGCTACTGTCCATGATGTATACAGCTAATGGACACCATTGCTCAATTCTAGGGTAAATGTGGTGACTTTCCAGGAAGGGATAACCTAGAAATTGGTATGTATTGAGTCTGTGTGACTCGTTCTTGTCCTCTGTGGTCTCAATTAAGGTGGTACAGTGCTCTTTGCAGGCCTGTGCTCTTGTGATGGAGCTATGGAGGACCTTCTGCTTACACATGGCCCCAGAGCATCCCATCAGTCATGGTGCTGAGCTGTGGGATGAGCAGCTTGTGCTTTGTCTTTTGTGCAGTGTGTTATGCAGTCTCTATATAATTTTTTTTTCTCATATTTATATTCCACATAGCTTTAATTTGTCTTTATTTTCCATGTTCTCTGGTAGCTGCTTTGGTAGCAGTCCTTTAGGTAGGTCAGTCTTCTAATTGGGGTATAAAAGTGGGACTCCAGTGAACACAGTTATGTAATGGTAAGCCTTGTGATCATCCTCAGAAAAAAAATTCTTAGCTGAGGAAAAACAGCTCATAAAGAACATGGTGCTATCAGAGTACCAATAACATAACACTACAGAATATACTATAGAAGACATTGGGAAAATAATTTGCCTGAGAATAGTTTAGATGTATGACATGCATGTTAATGATGCTTTATTTTCTTTTGAAGGATCGCCGCTTCAATGATGAAATTGACAAACTGACTGGTTACAAGACAAAATCACTCTTGTGCATGCCCATAAGAAACAGTGATGGAGAGATTATTGGTGTTGCCCAAGCAATAAATAAGACTCCTGGAGGTGCCCCTTTTTCTGATGATGATGAAAAAGTAAGATTACTTTCATTTTAAAAAAATTTCTTTTGTAACTCGATAGACTCTTGTAAAGATACTTTAAATAAGTAAATGGCACAGCTCTTGCGTTAATGATGTTTTTGAGGAGTGCTTAGCTAAAAATGCACATTTTTGTTGTTCTCAACATAACACGTATCTGTTCTGTAAATGTGGGAAGTCTTGTGGATGAAACTTCTACTTAATGGTCTCTAAATCTGATTTAGACTCTTTTAATGTAATAGATCGTAATAGGAAAACTTATTTTTTAAAACTTACCTTAAGAACAAGTTCATGGGGAAAAACCATCGCAGAGACGCTCCTAAGATTGTTGACTTCAAAAATCGCCACCAGATCTTAATGGTCTCCATGGCATAAATACCTGTAGCATATGAAAAAGAACCTTTGTTTTAGATATTATGCATATACAACTTTATGCTATTCCAAAATATAGCAGGCTGCCAAATGCCTGTGAAAGGACAAGGAGGCCAGAAAGGAGACACTAGGTGTGTATATGAAGCAAAATTTGAAGAGAAAAGTGACCTTAAAAAGCAGGAGAATAAATGGAGTGAGGGGAATTGTATGTAAAGCCAAGAGATGACTGGGGAAAATAATGGTAGAATGCAGCAAGCTGGGGGGGAACAGAACAGTAACTTTCTGCCCAGGAGAGAGAAGTGGAGTGTTCTTCAAGCTTACAGTTGGAAAATGCACATCTGTTTATTAAAGTATTAAATCTAAGTTTTGTGGAAGTGCAGTTAGTTGCAGACTTTCCCTTCAGAAGTTCTTTATATTGTTTCAGAAGCAGCTAATATTTGATGCAGAGCCATTGTTGGTTATTACATACATGTTGACATCTCTGCTATGACAAAAAGATATCAAGTAATGCCTGTTGGAAGGGGAAAATCCTGTTTTATTGGTTCATCTAAATAGCTAGAGATTATTTTTAGAATCTATATGGCTTGACATGAATTAAATGCATTATAAAGTTAAACAGTGGTTTATAAAGGTTGTGAAATGTTGCAAAAATCAAGCACGTATTCTATAGAAACCATAGTAATTGTATTTGTTAGTACTTTGAAGTTACATTCTTGTTTTACTTACAGAAATATATTTAAGCCATTTCATAGTTTGCAACAATTGCTTAGTGAGAATAATGGATGGATTAGATGGATAATGTCTGTTAATAGCATAATCTGGTTTGCTGTGCAGTGGGAGTAATTAAAAATGGATTGCCTTTTTGAAATTTAAGTATGTGAAGGTAACTTTTGCAGCCTAGGTGAAAAAAATCTTTGCCAAGTGAAATATTAAGTGAGTGCATTAAAGTTGAGGGAGACTAAAGATGAGTACTGATTATTTTATACATTTTATTAGTTACCAGATGTCTTCCAATGGAAACAGGTATGAGTAAATATTCTTTATAATTTTATTAGATTATTTAGCATAGCACAACTTTGTTGTCAAGTGGAGGTAATCCAGTAGTTATTCTTAGCAAAACCGACTTACACATGAAGAGCCAGCTTGCTTACTGTGTACCACTGCTTGTTTTTAGTGCTTTTCTGAAATCTATTTCAACATTTTATTGTGATCTGATGTGCTCCTGAGCTGCTTGTCAACAACTTCTTAAAATTCAAGCTTCAGATTCTCATTGAGACCTAAGCATTTGGATCCAAGTTGAAAAAATAGGCATGTTTGGATTATAATCTTTAAAGTACACTCAACACGTAAAAGGAGTGAACAATAAATTAGGCTGAGAGTAAGAAAGCTTATGGTTTGACAGACTAACAGTACAGGCATCTCAGTTGCCCAGTTGAAAAATTAGAAATGCTTACTAACTGTGGTTACTCTTCCCACCAACACTATTAGTAATTTTATAAAACTGAAATTATTTACATGAACAATACTTAGAGTGCATATGTGTATCTGGCATCATATCTTGGTTAGATGTTTTCTTCTAAATATGTGTTGAGTAACAAGTAAGAAAGTCATAGACTTATCTCTAGCACTATCACTTATCTAGCACCACATTTAAGACAACTTTTATGTGAAAAGCTTATAAAAACCTTTTTCCATAAAAAATAGTTAGCTTTTAATTTCCTTTTCTGCAAGGAGTCTAAGTGATTCTAACTTTCAATTTTCAAATGCTACTTTTTTAGACATCTGAAGTGATGCAGTACTACTTAAACTGTTTCTTTGCAAGTTATCTAAGCTTGTGTAACCATTAGTTTGCTTCTGAATTTTGATTCTTGAAAACATTGGATGTTGAATGTTGACTTACTAGAATACAGTACAAATCTGGCAGTATATGCTACCATGGGTAGCCAAATGCAAATTAAACAGATTTTCTCTGAATAGGCTTTTTGCTTCACTTTATATTTCTACTCTGTCTGTGTAAAGGAGATTTTGTTTTAAATGCAGCCTTTATGATGGATACTGCATTTGATTGCCATCCATTCCACTAGCAAAACTGTGTACTTGTGAAGTGTGTATTACACAAACATATTAGTGTAAATATTTGATGTCGGTTCTGAGGCTGTGGCATTTGCTTTGATTCAGCGACTGCTAAATATTATCAAAAATCAGCACAGTGCCCATAATTTGCCGTCTTTATATCGTGCTTGCTGGTCATTTATACTGCTCTTGTATTTTCAAGCCTATATGTTAGAACTCTTCAAGAATATGCTAAATGGGTTTTCACAGGTAGAGTTTATAGAAAAAAATAAATGAGAACATAACCATGATTTTGCCCTGTAGTAGATCTTAGATGTAATGAGGCTTGCCAGGCTGTGTGCTGTTATTTCCAAATCTGTGTTCGTAAGTTTCTTCTCTCACTGATAACCTAGAAAGCACCATATACCTTTGGGAAGCAAGAGAGCACACCATTTCAGGAGAATGTCTTGCAAAATTAGCAAACATTTTTGTGGTAGTTTGTTTTTTTTAATCATCATATCAGCAGAAGTGGATTCTGAGGGAAGGGGAAAAGCAAAAACTGGGAAGTCTTTAGAAAAGGTCTACCTGGACATAGAGGTGATTTGTGCAGAAAAGCCTGATGAGTAGCTTGGTTAATGTTACAATTTATGACAATTAGCAGCTTCAGAATAGTTAGAAAATGAAAATGACT